CATTCCATCACAAAATCATTGTAAGGAGCAAACACACAGCCCTGAGCCGCTTGACAATGATACTTAACACGTGGTAAGTCACGGGTAGTCTCTTCCTCTGCTCTGGTCTTTGGGCATGTTTGTAGCCTCTTAGTAGGGTTTGAATCCTATTCAATGCACCTGTTGAGATGCCATCAAACACTGTCCTGATGCCCGCTTGCAGATATATGAATCCGATACCTGCCAGGTAAGTGTTAACAGTGTCAGGTTTGAGGATGCCAAAACAATGGGCTTTGAAGTACTGATGGTAAGCTTCATTCATAGGTGGCAGTACACTGTTAGCACCCAGCATGGAAAACAAACTTTAGCATAAACTTAAGATAACACTGGAAACCTGTAGAGTAAGCTGACTAGAAAAGAAGAGGTCACAGTCGCTGATACTGGCCTCGTGTGTGGCTTTTCTTGAAGCAACTGCAACAAGGTTTTCCTTGGCCAATTCTTCGGTACACAAACACCATGTTGTCTTCGTAACTTTTAGATACTGTGAGATAAGGCTGATTGCTGGATTGCACTGTATTTTGTCTGGAACTGCCAGCACTTTGGCTGGCTTCGAGGCTATTTGTGTTTACATCATGGTTTGCGATGCCGAGAACATTAACCCTATTGTGCTGACTTCTTACTACTCGACAGGGGCCCTATGCCCGTGCCATAGTCCAAACTGTTGTGTTCCTCATAATAAGGAAGTTGAGATCCATATATTCTCTTCCTTTGAAATTATTGGGTCTCCAAATTTATATGACTGCTGACCTTTAGCTTAAATTTCGACTCAATATCAATGCGACTCCCCCCTCCCCATCCCCAGTGGAATGATACTTATAATCCTTACCTTAATCCAACCTTACCTTAATCCTGTCAAACAGCAAACAGCACCACTTATTAGCACCGGTGTCGTGCCTGGTTAGCGAAAATCCAATTTTCCCTAGTATCAGTAAAGCGAAAACCCAAGTTGGGGTATTTGTCCTACGAAAGCGAGAAATGAGTAATTGCTATAAAAACACCCGATTACCGTAGTTAAGATTAGCGCCCGTGCTGTTCAAACAGAGGAGAGGAGAGGAGAGGAGAGGAGAGGAGATTTACTAGAGAGTCGTTTCGTAAAAAATAATACATGTTTAAACACAGGAGAAGAGATGATCAGTTTCTTAATTGAACAAACAATTAGTTTCTTAGTTGATATGGGTTATGATACCGATGAGTTTAGAGGAGAGTCGTTTCTTAAGAATACATACAGTATGTATTTGATGGTATATATAAAGAGTGCAACTTATTTATCTATGGTCAAAATGGCTAACTCACAAGTTTGATTGAACATGGTTGATACTGTGCGAGGTGGTCAGCACTTGTTTTATGAGGGATTCAAGTTTTGTTGTAAGAAAACGGTCCGTGAGAAGAAGTATTGGAACTGCGTTTTTGCTGCATGCAGAGCATCGGTGATCACTGAAAACGGCATTCTTCAAGCAGCTTTGCAGGTAAGAAAATAATGCACATGATCATGATGATAATAATCTTAAAGACATAAACTCAAAAGACTTTGCTTAACAAACTATTCAGTTATTTATTTTACTTATTATTATTACTTATTTTTAGATACCACAGGTATTTGTCACATGTATGTATTTGTTTATAGTTAATATTAGTTAAAATGCAATTATTTAATTGCAGGTGAACCATACCCACCAAACTATCCCATATGAGATGTAAGTGGAATCTTTCAAGTCCAAGCTCATCCACCGTGCTAAGACGGACACAACGCTGATTCCAACCATATACGGAGATGAGATTTCCAGACTTCGCCGCCACCACGACGTAGTTCCAGACGACCTGCTTAAGGAAATTCCTTCCTTTGCATCCCTGAAGACCATTCTGTACCGACAACGCCACAAGACCCTTCCTAAACTTCCTGCCACCCGACCTGAGATTCATCTTGAAAGACAGTGGACATTGACCGAAGCAGGAGAACACTTCCTTAATCGCATCGACAACGACATTCTCATCTTCACCACAAGCAAGAACATTGAGCACCTGTGTGCAGCAGATGAAGTGTTTGGTGACGGCACCTTCTCCTCAGCTTCATGACTGTTTGAGCAGATCTACACACTACATGCTGAATTCCAAGGCCACATGTTCCCGCTTGTGTACTGTCTGCTTCCGAACAAGTCCGAAGATACGTACACCAGGGCATTTGAACATTTACGTCTAATGGCTCAATAGCAGAATTGTTACTTCAATCCAAGAACTTTCCAGTTAGACTCTGAAATCGCTGCCCACAATGCTGTACGGAGTGCCTTTCCCAACACTTTGATCAGGGACTGTTATTTTCACTTCACCCAGTGCATTTGGCGTCGAGTACAGAAGGAAGGTCTGGCTACGGACTACAAGAACGATGATGAAGTGCAACGACTGGTGTGAAGAGCCGCAGCCTTGCCTCTGCTTCCCTTGGACAAGGTCGACGACGTCTGGCTCCAAGCCATCGCTGACAGTCCCGCGGGTCCCAAGGTCGCAGCCTTCATGGACTACGTCATGACAACGTGGGTGGAAGGAGGCCAATTCTGACCTGAGATCTGGAACCATTTTGGTAACCAAGGGCATCGCACTAACAATAATATCGATGGGTGGAATATCAACAAACTTGCCAGGAAGAGCCATCCAAACATTTTTGAAGTTGTTACGCTATTTCAAAGAGAACAATCCAACGTAGAAGTCGCCATTCAACGAAAATTGGAGCCCACTGGTCAGCACCACCGAGAAAGAGAAGATACCGGCTGATTGACAACCGTCTTCAGGCTCTGAAAGACAATCTCGTCAACAACGTCATCGGCGAAGTTGAGTACACAGATCACGTTGGTGACCTGATCCACTTGGAGTGAATGACTTGAACACAACGTGTATGCCAGTGCAACCGCAAATTTATTATAGAGTGTATTTATGTATTTACCATTATATTTTAAGATATGTTATTGTTGTTTTTGTAGAAATTATAATGTACATCTATGAAATATTAAAGTATTGGAGTTATTAAATTTGTTAAATGTAAAGTACTTTTGAGCAACTATACTATACTTCAGCATCTAATAAATTACTACTGTGATTACGGTATACGCATTTCTGTGTTTTTCTTGTAATTTGAGAGTCCCGGTATAGCATTATCCCATGTTTACTGTAGCGTGACCAGTCTTACTGTAGCCTCACGAAAGTGAAGAGATTTTAGAGTTGATTATGGCTAGGTTTCGTCTCTTCCGGCCCAGAACCTTAGCACCAAGTAGAGCACTTCTACAACAACAATATACAGTGTTTTCCTAAAAACAACACACAGTTTATATGTTTATTCTGTTGACTGGTATTAGGGAAGTTCAAAGGCCATAGAATAATTGAACCAACAACAGTTTACTGATTGGTATGAGAAGAAAAACCAGAAAATGTTTGTACATATGAATAAATATTGACTGAAAGAATAATGAGTGAGAAATAATAGAGAACGTAGAAAGTGCACAAGTAAAAAATGCTAAATTTGTTGGTGAATGCTGAGATGGACTGCATACTTTCAAGGAAGGTGTTTAAATGGAGAACAGTCATTGCTTTAGTACATTGCGAATGCTGAATCATTATTAGTTTTCCCTTTTTACTCAGAACATCTCAATATATCTTTGTGGTTGCGTTTTCGCCAACTAAATCTGGTGCCATTTTCGCCAAGCAGCTTTGGTGACAATTTGTCCTGATTAATTTTTTTCACCAGCTGGTTAGGCAGTCTAGATCGAGGTGAGCCGAATGCATATTTAGACTTTATTTGCAGAATTTATAAATTGTATATACATCATGAAATAAATAGATCTGATAAAAATGGCATTTGTTTTACAAAATTTGCTCCAGTAATAGTTATTACATAGAAGGATATAGGAATGGAGTTCGTCCATTAGTCAGCTTCTCAATGGGGACAGATTTTCTCAAAAACTATTTTAGTTAGAGAAATGAAAATTTTCACATTGATTTTACTGGTCATGATCTCAAATGAGATAAAAAAGAAAAATTGGTGTCATGAATGCAGTGTTTTAATTTACTGCATGAAATGGAAAAGGAAAATGTTTTATCAGAAACAGTTATATTAATGAATGTTTGCATGCTTATATGAGGGATAGTTGTCAAGACTTGAGTTCAAAAATAGAAGCCGTAAATTATTCTTTTACACAGTTATGGCCCTTCATCCATGTTATTTACTAAGTGCATAGTGTCTGCAATGGGGACAAGTTTTCTCTGAAACTGAAGTTACTTGAATGAAACTGTGGAAGCTTATACAAGAGATACTTATCAAGAATACTTTGAAAATTGAAGCCTTAAATGATTTTTTCAGAGCTACTTCACTTGCTTCAAGTTTCTGCTTCCTATCTTCAATGGGGACAAGGTTCCTGAGAAACTACATGAAAGTTTGCATGCTTATGAGAGATACTTGTTTTATAGTTAACATTAAGTTCCCTAGTATTCACTACTATATGTACAAACACAATTCTAATGTGCCCCATGGCAGGGGATAGTGATAATGCTGTGATGTTTTAATGTCAAACATCATGTTCCAGTTGACATTGTCGGTGGAACCTGTAACTACTGGAAGAAATGGATGAGATCTTGCAGCTCATGTGTATTATGTTGCCCCATCATACCAACCCCCAGCCCCCAGCCCCCAGCCCCCAGCACCTGTTCTGGTGCCAATAAGCTTGTCTTAAAAGCGGAAGTTTATGGTATAAAAAGATTACATTATGCAGCAAAATGATGAATCAATGTAATTGTTTGTATAACTACACTTTTCTTACTTGTATGTTAGACACATTCATGCATACTACTTCCAACTAACTGCATGGTTGTGAAGTGTAGACATGGATGTATCTCTTTGAGTATATTTCTCCCTGTTCAGTAACACTACTCTGGGAACATATACAGTTATGTGAACTGAGGTATTACCTTTTCTTCTTCAGGCACTAAAAAATGATTTGCTGCCATTCCTTCTTCGACTTTTGGAAGGAGGCCTTGAGGCTGTTGAGAACCCTGCAGCTACTAAAGCTCAGATTGTGAAAGCACTGAAAGCCATGCAGAGGAGTTTACTTTATGGAGAGCAGGTATGGTTGATCATATGGTTGCTGGGAGCACTGAACTATCTTTAACTTCTTGGACAATATATGGCCCCTCACTATTCACACCCCCTTAGTGCCAACCAGACCAAATATGTGCTTACTGCACTTGGCAACCTTTTTCTTCTACCGGTAAGTTTGAACTTCATGCGTTTGTCACATACATGTAACTATGTATATTGGTATCAGACGACCAATTTAAAAAAGATTTACTTTTTCCAGCTGTAGAGTTATTGGTTAATGCTATTGATGTGAGTCTGCAAGGAAAGGTTTATTTACACGTATTGCATATTTTCATTGACTGTGTGGCATGGCAATTTAGCACGGCACCAGAGACTAAATGATATTGAGGTTTGTTAGTCTTTTCATGAGGCTTATTGTCAAAAAATATTCTAATCTAAGATAAAATTATGTAAAGACAGCTATGATCTTTGATATTAATGTGGTACAAGAAATGTTTGGAGGCAGTAGGTTTACAATAAAAAAATAAACATTAAATGGCCAATCTGCAGGTAATCAACAGCATGGCCACGACATCTTGCCATATTGTAAACACATTGTGTCAAGGTGAGTTTCGCATGTGGTACCTCATCCCTACTTTCTGTTGATGATACACACAATGCAACAATAATACAACAACTGAAAATATTAACTTAACATCCAAAATGATGTCAACTTCACCTTTTTGTGTTTGAGTCAACTGCTGTAAAGTTCTAGTTTGATTTGTTTTCCATTCATTGAAACTCTGATACTGATGCTATATGGTACTATGGTAATATGCTGTAATTGTACAAGAGAACTGATAGCTAATGATATTTGTAAATACATGTTATCTAATACACATTCTAAATATCCTGACCGCCTCCATGGTATAGAGGTAGAACGCTCGGCATTCAGTGGCTAAAACAAGGACGGGTCGGCTCGGAGTCAGTATACTGTATCTTAGTGGGGTATCCATGTTAAACTGTGGCATGGTATCCAGTGGCCTAGCGCTATAAAATCAGCATAATTCCAGACTAGTACAAGCAGCCACTCGCATGCATGCACATCGCAATGTAAGTGCACTAATTTTTAATATGATGTTATACCCCATTTCACCTCACCTATAAATCTCTTCAGGAAATATTCATACTTCCAACATTCTGCAATGGATATTTATTAATATTAGATTTACAAATTATTGATGTAGTGTGTACTCTTGATTATTGTATGACTATCTATCTTTAGCTTAAAAGCTTTGGTTTTTCGTTCAATGACGTTACAATTTGTAATTGTATTTGTGTAGGCTAATAGACTAGCTAATAGTCTGTGATTTCCCGCCCCTGTGAATTGTTGTCTTGATAGGTGCACATGGTTCTCACATGGATGACATAACATCAAATAGCTGATCTGATCTGTGGTAGTATAAGGGAGACACATGGTTTTGATTTCCAAATGATAATAATATTTTCTTTGACTGAACTAGAACATAGTACATTTTCTTTGAATACATAACCACAGTATTTATCTGCATTCCAAACGAATTCTCTTGGTTACAGTGGAAAACGTAAAAATAAATAACCATACGCAGATTGTCTGTGCTTGTAAGTGTTAATAAATTTGTGATAACTAGAGAAAGACTCTCTTTTTAAAAGTTGTACCAGATTTGGCATATTTTTTCCCATTCTGAAATGATGTCATTACAGGAAGTGCTTATAACGTCGTTGTTAATGTTGTTGGGGGAATTTAGCAAAGGGTGGGGATGAGGCTGCTTCTGTTTTCGCATGTTATAAAACATTTCTAGTTTATAATAATTTGTTTGGATATGGAATTAGTGTTCTGTGTTGGAGTGTACTATGACCTTGCTTGCTATTGTGTCCACAGATTACAGGAATCCTTGAAAAGTCAGCAGTATGGAAGGACTACAAAGATCAAAGGCATGACCTATTCATCACAGACTCCAACATATCAGGCTATCTCACAGGTATGACATAGTTTTCTCTAGCCCATTGAGACTTTTATGGAAGCTGCATATATATGTGAACAGTGGTGCTCAGTGAGTCCATCAGCCACAGGTCATTGGTGTAATCCAGTAAACATTTTCCATGATTCAGATGAAATTTTGTGTGGATGTTTGTTACTATAAAGCGGTTCAAGTTTGTTCCAAACTTCAATATTTAAATTTCATTGCGGCAGCCAGGTAGCAAGCCATCTTTGATTCAAAGGAAAATAACATAAAGGACCTGAAGCCTGAAACTTGGATGGCCAGATGGTCATGATAATATTTTGTTCTTTAAGTTTAAGTTTAAGTTTGTTGTTTATTGAAAAAGTGTTTGTCATCCTCCTGAGAAACCACTTGACAATAAAGATAAAACTTCACATGCTTGTTCCAACCTTTGATGACAACCCAAAATGTTAGAATCAAATTTTCAATATGGTTGCCACTGCAGCCCACTTCTGGTGATAATGATGAATAGGGAGGAGAGCACAAATTTAAAATAATTCACCCTATATGTGATATCATGGTATGGAAATTGCCCTTGAATTCTAATGTTTGTCTTTAAAAGGCCTTAAACCGGCATTTGCCTTGAACTCAATTGCATAATGATTTCTTGAATTACGAATGTTCTACGAACTGAATGTGATTGCAATGCGGTTACTTCCCTTTATACTACGTCACAGCATTGCATGTTTGCATGTGTCAGCAGTGAACTGAAGTTTCAGGCTCAAAAAGTATAACATAACACATCCTGACCAAACAGTATTTATCCCCTGCCACAAAGTGGGGTTGGGGATATAGGAACAGAGTTCGTCCGTCCGTCTGTCCATCCTTCCTTCCGTCTGTCCGTCCGCTTCTCACAGGGGACAATTCTTTTAAAAAACTATTCAAGTTAGAGAAATAAAATTTTACACGCTGATGTTACTCAAATTGGTGTCGTAAATACTTTTTTAACTGAGTTATGGTCCTTGATCCATGTTATTTTACTTTGTACATAGTGTCTTGAATGGGGACAACTCTTCTCAGAAACTACTGAAGTACTCTCGTTCGGCCATCATTCACATGCAGCTGAAGCCTGCTTTCATCTGACCAATGGATACGTCTCTATGTTCTGAGGTTCCACCCTTGGTGGACCGCCTCCGTGGTCTAGTGGTAGAGCGTCCGCCCGGAGAGCGGAAGGTCCGGGTTTTGATCCCCTGCCGTGTCATACCAAAAGACGTTAAAAGATGGTACTTGTTGTTACCCTGTCTGGCGCTCGGCATTAAGGGGCTAAAACAAGGACTGGTCGGCTCAGAGTCCGTATACTCTGTCAAAGTGGGGTTAAACTGCGGCATGGTATCTCAGCGAGCTAGCGCTATAAATCAGCATCAGTCCGGACTAGTACAAGCAGCTACACAAACATGCACATCGCTATATAAGTGCAATAATCTTGGACGCGACATTAAACCCAATTTCACCTCACCTCCACCCTTGGTGTGCCAAACACCACTGTAATCGCAGTCTCCAATGACGTTGTACCAGTTTGTGGTGTTTGACGACTCTTCAGACCCTCATTCCAGCAGCTCTTAAACGATTCCGCAATGTTTGGCCAGACAGATGTCTATTGGGTAACAAATTACGCCTCAGGTAGGTGCTCGTTGCAAATGGATTTCTTCGCACTAATCGCAGTAATATCCTTTTTTTCACATCCAGACATCACAGGAGGGCGTCCCGTACGTGGCAGGTACTTTACGGAATTGGTTTGGGCGTGTTTTCACACTCATTGGCTGATTACTGAGTAATGGTAACCCAGTTGAGGTCCAGTCCCCTTGATAGACATCCCAGCGGCATGCATACCAATGATTCTCCATCTTAGTGCATCACATACTCTCCTCCTTGCCATTTCTGTCTTGACGACTACACAAATCAATTTACACCGTTTTCAGTACCAGTATTTGCTGCGTGGACATACTGTCTTTTGCTGAGTGCTAGGGAGGCATGATGCACGTGCAAAACACAGGAAATTGGGACGTCACCATCACGCATGAACAGTCACATTATTCGGACAAAACAACATTAATATCGTAATTAGTATTGCCATCAACATTAAGCACTATGGTAGTGTATTATCATACATAATATTAGGGGGTGCTTAACTTTTTTTTATGTGTATTCTTAAGTGTGAAAGACTGAGAATTCTAAAGTTTAGAAAAGTGATATTCCACAGTAGTGACAGAAAAGTGTCTCTGCAGTGAAAAAAATACTTTGACGGAACTACTTTCCACACAAGAGTTACTTCCCTTAACCCTGTACTTGAATTATCTCCCCCTGAAACAGATTATCTTATGCTAATGCTAATCAAAGAACATCAAAGTGAAGATGGATTATATTGACCTTTTACTCACTTCAATGGATTTTAGTATGTTCGAACAACATCAAGAAGCTCCTCCCAAACATTTCTACAAAGATGTTGACAGATTTCTTGATAAGCAAGAAAATGAAAACACCAAAAAAAAGAAGACTGCTTACAACGTACCTGAAGATTCTTGCTGCTTCTCTTGCTGGGGAAGGAAAGACCAGTTGAAGAAATAGAGCCCCTTGTTCTCGATGACCTCATATGCAAGTTCCTCATCTCAATTCGCAAGAAAGATGCTTCAGAGTATGAACCCTCATCTCTTTTGAAATTTTCTGTCTTCCTTTGAGCGTCACCTTAAAAGGAAAGCATAAGGGTTCAGTGTCATTTAAAAGTGATGAATTTCCAAGTCGAGATCAGTGCTGAAAGCAGAACAAAATATTCTTAAAGCACAAGGAAAGGGAAATAAATCCTAGGCCTCTGATGAGATAACAGATGAGAACCTTGATACCATGTATCAAGCAGGTTCTCAATGCTTGTCCAACAGAATCAGCCTCATACATTCAATGTGGGCTCTCTGTACATTTCTATTTTGGGATGAGAACTAGGAAATAGGTACATCAGACAAAATGGGTGTGTGTGTGTGTCAAAATTAAAGATGATGACAACAAGGAAGAGTACTTGGTATTTATCTCGATTACCCATTCTGGAGAAAACACAAGTGACATTCGCAGGACACCGCTTTGCCATCCCTGATGAACCCGATCAGAATCCAGTGGCCTGCTTCAACAAGTACAGGTACAACCGACACACATCCACTTCTTGCCAATCAACCACTTCGGGAAAGTCGACTGTGCCTGGTACTAGAGTTCACTGATGGCCTTGAACAAATTATACAGTATCATGAATGACATGTAGGATGGAACAAACATCACAAAAAACAAATGTCTCACAAAATAAGTTTTAATAAATTATACCTACTATTGACTCATTTAACAAAAAATATACTTTAAAAAAATCATAATTTAAATAAATAAATAATCTAGTTATTTGTCATGTTTATGTCAGATGATTAAAATTAAAATTTAAGTAATATTGAAGGCAATAAATGATATCATAATACATAATTAAAACTTTTATTTTAATCTCACTATATATTTCTTCCTTCTTCTTTGGATCCTTGTGTGGAAACATCCTAAAACAAAGTTTCCAGCTTCTAAAACCATTTTGCCTGAACCCCAGCACCTGTATCACCATCAACGTCTATCATTTACTCCAGGTAAACACACAGTAGGGGCCATAGACATCGCTACCCCGACTACAGTTACCATTACGACTACCAACCCTGCCCAACCATCCAAGCGTGTCAACTCCAAGAGAGAGAATGATCTGGCATAGGGTGTCAGGTGATCAAACCATGTACGTCACAGTGCATGGGATTGTAGTGTGTGACCCAATTGTTTGGGTGGTAACTATGGTGTGAGGGGAGTTCAGGCGAAATGGTTTTAGAAGCTGGAATTTGTTTTAGGACGTTTCCATACATGGATCGAAAGAAGAAGGAAGAAATGCATAGCGAGATAGGATATGTATATAAATATAAAATTTACTGTAAAATTTTCAATGATTCATAAATTTACACATTAAGAAAAACAAATGAATTTGCATCAATTACTTATTTTTTGCAGCATGAGAAAGCACATAGTTAAGAAACCTTTGGATGAAGGAGTTGCCACAAATCAAACAATGGAAATAGCAGTTAAACATAACAATTTTTGTCTTTCTTAGCTATCCAATAACAGTCATGCTTTACAAAGTTAACTGACATGAAGTTACTTTGAAATGTCATCATACATAGACATAAATACAACAAATATAGATTTTTGTGTTCATATCAATACTAGAAAACTATATACTATAAGAAACATAAAAGTAGTATTCTAAATACATGTATTAAACTCCCTTCAGGTCACAAGAATACCAACTCCATCAGGAAATATTTCTACATGAAGCACAGGCAGCAGGAGAAAGTATAGCAGATATTGTCCAACGTGCACACATCAACTGCCTCATCAACTGTGACATTCAATCATTTTTTCTGATGACATTAAGCGGCCCAAGTGCCTCATCAACTGTCACATCAGGAATGTCAGCTTCCAGCACAGCCACTTCCATGCACATCACATCAAACCGAATGGCAAAACTAAGTTTCCTGTCTAATATCTTGTCTAACAACACAATAAATGGAAATGTCAACATCTGCATTTTGCCAAATGCATTCGTTTTCAACTCCGCAGGATCAGAGAAACAGCAGCCATTGGCTATATTGCTTAAAGCGATTTCTTCTCTGGAACTAAGAGATAGATATCAACCATACTTGGTTGGAAGCATTCTCCAATGGTGGGGATTCAAATTAGAGAAATGGAGGGGCTGAACCCCACCAGTACCCCCGGGGACTGTGGGGCGTGGCTAAAAAGGTAATTTCGCAATATTGATTTAAACGACTTCTTCTGTGGAACTTTAGAGATGGACATCAACCATATTTGGTTGGAAGTATTCTCAGGTGGTGGGAATTCACAGTTGTACAAACAGATTTGCTGAACCCCCCAGGGGCTGAGGGGCGGGGCCAAAAAGAGTTTGTAACTTGAGACACAGT